CTCAGTAGTAACACTTTGTACACTTTGAGTTAGGAGCTACTCAAATTGGAATATCTATTTATTTCTTTTATTTAATAAAACCTAAAAAATAAACCCTAAACCCTCTGTCCAGTAACTCACAATTACCTTATTTTTAACCTGTCAATGAACTTACTACTCATTACAAAAAACTCCTAGTATAGCACAATCTTCATAGAGATAATATGGGAGACTAATTAGAAAATCACCCTGCAATCTGGCTAATTCAAAAGCAGCTGATCGAAGTCAGCTACGTGTCTTAAAATTTTATGATTACTGTAAATGGACACTTCCAAAATTATTTCAATGTGAAAAGCTGCAGCATATCTTGCTGTCATAAAAATACACAATAGCCAAGACAAAAAAAGTCATTTGAGTTATGCTAATGGGTAGCAGATCGTTTTGCCTCTAAATAGCCTCCTTCTTTGGATTCAGCTGGTAAACACCATAAACTGAGATTATGTACTGGCTGCTACCACTGTATAAAAACAGGGTTGTCTTAAACAGCCATCCTAGTTTTCAACTTATGTGTTTTAGAATACTGAAAAGTTAAATTTGACTCAACCATTTAACTTGAAACTTTTCCAAAGAGGAGATATATTTCAACTGTTGAACCTCCAATGGCAGTGAGCTATTCAGCAAGATCTGTTTCTTTATCACTGCAGCAGAGAAACAAAAATTGAAAGAAGTATTGCTTAAAGCTAATTATATTTGAGTGAAGATAGAGATGTCCTTTTTTCCTAAATGATTTTTTCAGTAAAAAGCATACTTAGATTTTATTACTTGAAGAAAAAAAGCACATCATAAGAGCATGTGGAGTATGACAGGACCAAAAGATTTGTTTCAAAACATTTCACCAAAGCACTTCAATTTCAAGGCTGGCTCTAGCCTTTAGTGTGTTAGAAAACAGCAACCTTAATCCTACTTACTTGCTCTATCCACTACAACAAGCAGGACAGCAGCGTTAGTGCATGGAAACACAACTCATGGCAATATTAGAAAGCTAGAACTTCCCAAGAATGAAAATACGATGGGCCACATCCTTAATCTCTAATAATATAGTCAAAAACTAAGAAGTATACATGCTTACCTCATGTGGATTGGTGTAGCCCAAAAGTAGGTTTGCTGCTTTAATGTCACCATGGACATACTCACTTTCATGTATGTATTCCAAAGTATCCAGCTAGGAAAGAATGTAGAACAGAAAACATGGTCTTCATCTTCTCCACTCTGCACCTACCCAACCACCAAATATTTCTCTCTTATACAGTGAAATCAACGGCTACACAGACTGAGCTGACAAATTTGGGTTGAGCTAAAGCACAAGGACTACCCAGTCTGCCACAGGGTCTGGTCCCGCCAGGCACAGCGTAAAGAAGCCATACATTGCCATGAGGTGTCCTTGTGTAACTACCTCTAAGTACCGGTTTCTAAGATCACAAAGGAAGAATGAAACTAATACTTTATAAACACCAGAGGAAATGTTGAGAACACCAAGCTCTTAAAAAGAACATAATCAAACAGTTCTGAAGGTTTAAAATAAATTTGATCCTGCCAGTTATTCCATAACCTGCATTTCATGCCACCATCCCCCTTGCATCATCATCCTTCTTCAGCTCCTTACTGAGGTGTGATAGCTATAATTGTTAGTAAAAGAAGTGTCATTTCAACAGTCAATTGTTGAAGTCCCCAAGGATGGATGTTTCATAGCCTCTGGAAAGCAAGCCCCAGTGCTAAGACACTCCTTCTGCAAAAACTCCTAAAACTTATGACCATTGCCTCTACTCCATTTGCTGTGCATCTCTGCTCGGTAACAGCAGTATTTCACCACACAAATCATATTGTAAAGGAACACTTATAAAATCTTCTGTTAGAATGTGCCAGTCTGCACACAGCTGAAAACAAAACTGGTATTTGCAGACTAGCTTAATCCTGGCCTGTACAATCAGCCTGTTCAGCAAACACACTGAAAATTTTGCGTTCAGGTATGCAATCGTGAACTTTGACAAATATGGATGTCTAAGACAATACCCTTCAGACACTGAAAAAAAAATCAATACATATTGAAGCACATGAGAATAGGCTTACACATCTCATCTAGGCACATGGTTTGAAGTATATGGTCTACGTTTTAACCTATTAGAAAAAAATTTTATTTGAGCCCACCAGTTTCCAGTCTGTAGGTGATCTTGATTTTCTACTTAACACTCATTTTGTCTAAAAATAGAAGAAAAATAATATATAGCTTATACACGTTTAATCCTAAACTCAAGAGCCACCTAAAGGAATTATATAAGGAAGATAATTTTCTAGATGAATTCAGCAAGTTTGACGTATTTTTCTCTCAATCTGTACATACCATTCGTGCTCCAAGTTGCAGAACAGTTTCCTTCTTAAATCTGCTTCCACAATCTTCAAAGATTCTTTGAAGGTCTTCCCCCAGTCTCTCCATGACCATGAATCTATAGCTACCAGGAAATATGTAAAAGGGAGGAAATCTTTAAGACAAGACTACACGTTTGTGTCAAATTGAAAGGACTTAATCTCCATTTTTGAAAATGGGTCTTAGGTCAATTTGAGGCTTAATTACGATTCACCTTATTACCTTTTTCCCTTGTACTCAGCCAAGCCTGATCCCCAAAACACAGGAATTCCTAAACATCTTATTTTTTTGAGATTCATCCATTTTCTTACTGTAATAATAACAGAGAGATAACATTGGGTTAAAGGTAGGTAGAGAATTTCAGGTTTGGTGTGGTTTGTTCTGTTCTAAGGCCTCTCTCTGGAGTCCATTCATTGTTGTGCACATAATAAATTTGGCAGGTTTCTATTCTCCTTTCTGATCAGAAAGGACAGGGATAACACCCAAATAACAAAACCTACAGCAATCTAGAATTGCTACAGTGCCAACTAGGACTAGTACAGTGTGTATGAAATGAGCTGGCCATCAAGCTCTAAAGCAACAGTTCTTACCAGAAGTAGTTAAATCCAACTTGTCCTTACATCTATCTGAATGAGAACTGATACATTACTTACTATGCTCTTGTTTTGCAGCCCTCTGGTAAAACTTCAATTCAGAAAATAAGGGGCCATTTTCAAGATATTCCTGGTGAGATATAAAGAAACTTAGTATCATAGAATACATTACAAAGAAAATAGTTTCTAAAGAAAAGCATGTAAGAAATTCCAAGAGAATGAAACCCCTTTTCTTCCCACCTCCCATATACCATGCCTTCTGAAATGTAATTTTAATAAGTAGCTAAAAAGAAAAGTTGTTTGGCAACATGTTTCCGTAAGCAACACAGATTCTGCAGGCATTATTTAAGGCACTATTTTCAGAAATATTGAAGATCAGACGTATTTAAGATCAGAGTCTGATTTTCCTTACTAAACTGTTGAGGGTTGTAATCAAGGATGGAATCAAGTCAAGGCAATCCTGTGTGTCATGGAAATGCCAAATATATCCCCAAGCAGAGAAAGTATATAAAAAAACCCCAAACCTAAAAGCCACAAGCATGCAGTACAGACCCAATGCTGAAAATAAGGACAGATAATTAAGAGGAAGAACTGCATGCAAATTAATAATTTAGAAATGAGATCTACACATTACCACTTTGATTACATGCACTGCATCATTTTCTACAGGAACATGAGTTTGAGGGGATGCTGCAAAGGAAGAAAGAGATAGGAGATCAAGCCGTATGCAAGAAAACATAATTGCAAACAAAGACTGTGCTAACACTGAGTAAGGCAACCAAAAACTACATTACAAAGATATCCAGCGTTTTGTCTGAATTCCTGCTTTCAAAGGTCAGAGTTTTGCCAAGTTCAAAGAAAAATAAAATGAAAACAACATACAGAGAGAAGTTTTAATCAACAAGTAGAGAAGCAATTTTAACCCACATTTTCAGAACTCTCTCCTCTGATGTTAATTAAGGAGTAAGCAGATATCCTCATTGCACATTTGCACCACAGTGAGGTATTCCATTATAATAGACTCTGTTTAAGTCACTCCAGCCAATTGGAAATTCTCTGTATTTGGTTGCTGTCAATCCACTGTCGTGACAAAGACATCACTTAAAAGTTATGACCTACATTATGCTTCCAGACAGAATTGTCTGCTTTCCTCTATTACAAATTAATTTGGCCCTAGAACCTTGATTTCTATTCTGACATTATTTAGACACTGGCCTAAGTTAGGGATAGTGCAGCCACCACCTGCCTAAAGGGGAGCTGAGGGATTGTGCCTCTTAGTGCAAGTGGAGATTTCAAAACAATAATTGACCACATGTGCCAATTACAGCCCAGGAGACAGAACCTCTCCACACAGACAATGCAATCCTATTTTCTTCTGACCCTGAGAGAACTATCAGTTCTCTCTGATACTACTGAAGCTACATGGAGCTACACTGGGATTAAAATTTAATGAGACTAAATCATCTTTTAGAATCATCACTGAAAAAAACTAGAAAGAATACAGTTCCTAGGAAATAAGTGTCCCTTTCAAACTTGTGATAATGATCAAATACCAACAACAGTCCAGGTGTGAAACACTTCAACTATCAGCACACACAAAAATAGACCACTTTTATCCGCATAATGAAAATCAAGCAAACTTGGATCTAATCAAACCATCCAAGCTTTCTTTTTTTGATGGTCAGAGCATAAAAATATTTTTACAATGAACAGATTCCTTCAGCTGCCATCTTCAATTCTATTCAGCATCTGGGTTCAATCTGGCAGCATACATACCCCAAACACCCACTGGGTCCCCACTGCCTTCAGCTTGCCACTTCCCCACGTGAATGCCTCTGTGCTACCAACATAGCAAGATAAAGATGAAAATATCCTATAACAGTAGCTCTGGAAGGTGGGAACTATCCATAGACTCAAACAAGTGGTAGTCACATTCAGAATACAATTTAAAAACATACAACCAGGAAGGAAATTTTGGTAAACTTTGTTCTTACCATATTATTGTACTGCACTGGGAATTGAGGCACAGGCGCTTAAGTCTTTATCTTTCTCTGCCACATGTAGACTATGTGTTAATAGCTGAAGACATTAGTTTAAAGGAGCACATTCCATGTGTTTTCATTGCATTCAGCAACATCCCATTACCCAAACAGAATTAGATGTGCTCCCTTACTGACACAGATCAGAAAAGAACCTCTGTCTAAGAAAATGTATTTTAATACCAAGTTACTTAACAGAGGTTTGATAGGTATAAAGAAGTATCAAATTTAAATGTATTTGAAAGAGTCTGATCTAACTTCCCTGTAGACTTCTTGACATTTTATAAAGAGAGGCCTCATTCATGGTAATCTGGAGCAGACAGTAACAGCTGTCAGGGTAATGAAGAAGAGCAATTAATGGGAGGCAGCCCAGCAAAAGGACCTAACCCCCATGGTTCTTACACTGTGCCAGTGTGGATGCTTTTTGGAGTCACACTGAAAGAACATCCTGAAGAAAAATAAACTCGAAACTAACTGGTCATTGTTACAGTGTGAAAAGGGAGAAAAGTCAAAGCTCAACAGGATATTGGAACAGGTGCCCCACAAAAGGAGTAACATAACATTCAAATCTACAAAAGGAGAAATGGTATTACTGTTTTTACTGCACATGAAACAAGGCACAACAATCCCCATGAATAAAACTGTAAACTTATTACACAGATAATGCTTAGACAATCTCATACATACAGATAAGCAGAAGTTGTATGCATACCTTTTGTTGCATCATTTTAATTAACCATTCACATATCAGGCAGAAATACTTCAGCCACAGCTCAGAAAAAAAGACAGACTATTATTTTGTCCATAAATAAACATAAATGGTTTTTAAAAAATTGTCTCATTACTATGTATAGTTACTTAACAGACTGGAAAGGCTCCCAAGGTTTAACAAACAGTCTGATTACATACCTCATAGACCACCACCACATACTCTCCTGCGAGTTTAGCTCATAGTTAATTACTGTATACTCGTAATTAGCCATGTGCTAGCCTCGTTCTGTGTGGTAGCACATGGCTATTTATAATATTACAATCAGTTAAATGCTAGACTGCAGGACAGTAAGCAGAGACTCTGCAGGAGAGCAATGCTGATAGGCAGGAGGTCTCTGATGGCATATAAGTACACACATAGAATATCAGGAGTGCTATATGGCAAGATGATCTTTGCACAAAAATCTTAAAATAGCATAACAAGTGTGCAAGTTCCCAGTTTATGTTGCTTTTATCATCTAGAGATGCACAACCCCTTACATTGGGTGGGAGAGGTGTTGATGGAGTCACACAATCAAAACCAATGTCTGCATAATTGTTAACTGGGAACACTGGTGCAAGATGAAGCTGTGGAGGGGGCTGAGGCTGCTTCCAGCTCAGGCCAAGAGGAGTCTCACAAAATATTTGCAGAGGGCACAGCTCTACTTTCCTCCCCTTCATCCCACAATCACAGCTACCATGCCAGTGAAAGGCAAACAAATTTAAAATGTGCTCTAAAATAAAGCAGTGCAGTAAGATTCACATCCTTGGCCATAATTTCCAACTGCCGTGCCTACACACGACAGCAAATAACTTACTTCCAATTAACCCATGTCCAGAATTCCCTAGTTTCACCCAGGCATGGCAGTTATGGTCTTATCACCCACTTTAATCATGAATTTCATCCGTTTTGTTGCTGAGTGCCACAACCTTAATTAATGTGGCTTTCTAAATGTTAATAAGATATGGTAACAAAAGGGTGTTTGTGGATGAACTGCCATTTCCTACCACCACACAGCACAATTGCAGCCTGACAGAGAAACCTGCCAATTCCATTTGCCAGTTCAAACGTGCTTGTTGTAGCTTTAGCAGTTAATTTGTGGCACTTACATTTGGAATATGGTGAAATATTTTCAATGGCTCTCACAGAACCATTTTGTTGACAAAGTTTACACAGTGGAAAAGAAAACAGCATTGATTTGGCAATTTGGAGAAACATTCCTAAAAACCACAGCTGGTTGACACTGCTGAATATTTTGAGGATATATTTGTTTGGGAAACATGAACAAGACTATTTTCAGAAATTCTTGGGTTGTTAATTTTTTATTTTTGCTTTGTTTCATTCATTAGCTAATGATGAAGAGTGATATTATAATCTCAGTATTTGCAGAAATAGAAACAAATCTCAAAAATACCACATTTTAAAGCTACAGGCTACTATCCACTGCTGAATATTTTGAGGATATATTTGTTTGGGAAACATGAACAAGACTATTTTCAGAAATTCTTGGGTTGTTAATTTTTTATTTTTGCTTTGTTTCATTCATTAGCTAATGATGAAGAGTGATATTATAATCTCAGTATTTGCAGAAATAGAAACAAATCTCAAAAATACCACATTTTAAAGCTACAGGCTACTATCAAAAAATAGAAAAATTCTGACTCTGTTTAAGTCAAGCCAAGAGTTGCTAAATTCAACAGGCAGCAAACAAGGGAGGAGTATTGCTCAGAGCATCTAACAATAAAAAAAAGGATACAAGTTGCAGCAATACAATTACTAAAAACAAATTGTACACAAGTAAATTAAAAGTAGCATTTGCTATTTAACACACAACTTCAACTGTTTCCTACATATGGAGGGTACCTACCAGAAATATTTGAAGGCAAACAAAGTACATCTCCTTCCCCCTGTCTGACGTTGCAATGTCCAATATTTCCCAGGAACTGAAACAATCAGTACTTGTAGGCTTTGGAAGATCTGCTTCTCTGTTACTGTGCAGATGCAACGTCATTTCCTGGACAGACTCTTTTCTGAACAGCATTTATGAACAGATTCTATTCTGGATTCTTCCTCTAGATAGCTTTATGAATGTAGAGTTTTATTACACAAATTACTTATATATAGCCCTCCGTACCATGCTTGTGGAACCATCTTTCACAAGGCCTAACTAAAACAGATAGAAAAGCTTGTTCAACTGGTAAAGTGTTTTGCAGATAACTGCAAATGCCTCCAAGTTAAGAACATTCAGCACAGGTAGGAAATTTCACTACATTTCTTACTCATGTTTCTGTGAAACCTTAATCTTGATTCACTAGAGCCAAAGTTTTGTAATCCACAGCAATGGCAGCCACTGTTTGACTTTCAAAGTTAATTAAGATAGAATAGGTATGACACATCCTTTAACCCCAGGCAGAAAAGATATGCATGGGCTGGTCTTACAGCACTCTCAGATGGGAGTCCAGGCCTCTAATACTTAAAACTTGATGCACAAACTGTTTTCTGGCAAGATTCTGCTCCAGCCCATCTGCTAGTCTGACATGGTGCCCACTCAGAAGATACTATGCCAGTTTCAGTAGGGTACAGGTGCCAAAGACAGCTAAAGGGAGTGCCCTCATAAAGCAACAGGTACCCATCTTTCCTCCAAAGCTCCTCCTGCTACCCTGTAACACTGCTCAGAAATACAACCCCCAGTGAAAAAAATAAAACAAAATAAATCAAACCTGCTCACTTGACTTTCTACTACTACTCAGCATGGCAGGGTCTAAGTCCCTGACCAGATCTCTCACAGGGTGGACTAAAGTAGAGCACAACAGCTCCCTCATCACAGGGCCATGCATATGGAAAGAAAAACCTCAACACATTATAAGGCAGAACACTACAGTGTAACAGTTATGATTTCT